ATTTGGGTTAAACCTATTTGGATAAATAACCGGCCCTTGCTGTTCAGCATGATGAAGAGTTCCTCCGACGGAAAAAAATGTTGAGGTTGATTATTCAAACATTAATTAATTATTAATTAATTATTAATTAATCAAATATGTATACCTATTAAATGAACCCTCTTACCTTGAGGTTTGAGACATGTGAACATCATTAGCTACAAAAGGGAAAAAGGAAAAATCAATCAAATGGCATTCAATCATTTCGATAGACAGTTTCAGACACTTTCTCGAAAATACTGGAGTGAATGACTTGTAAATGCAGCCACAAAAAATGTGGTTTCACAGAGCTGAAAATGCTACAAACAAACTGTGTAGTTGGTTTTGGAGAAGAATTCGTACAATAAGCTTGTTAAGGGGTTGCATTAACTGCTGAGTTGCGGGTAAATCTACTCGCTTGTAACTCGCGGGCTACCCGCTCGTTCCTTTTTCATAAGCACCACTCTACTGCAAGCTTATGTGTAATTCTCTTCAAATTGGCTGACGTCTACAAAAAAACAAAGTAACACAAATTGAAATACACCTTAAAAAGCAAGAAAATGCAACTGAAGGAGTCCAAAACCTTCTAGATTTCCCAGAAGAGTCCAGAACTCCCTTGAAAGTGGAGGCCCTTAAGACGTTCACAACTATCTGCCTACCACTCAAAAATACCGATTTGTACCGAAAGGTTTTTTTTTAACTACTGGCTGTACGATCTTGTACGTACCCCCATGTTCCTTCTTCCGACGCTTAAAGCAACACAATGCAAGGACGACAATGGCCAGGAGAAGAATACCAGCAACTAAAGCGATGACAGCAATCATCCAGTCTTTTAACGGTTCACCATCACTTCTCGCTCCTGGGATGGGGCCCGCCGGAACTAAAACAGAAACAGCGAAAAAAACCGTGTAAAGGACAGAATGCCTGAACTGCTCGTACATTCGGCGACCCGTGCGCGGGCATGAGAGATATTTTCAGCCGGTTTCTAAATTAAAAGAAGTATACTATGCTAGGCTGGTACCTTACGTATTCGATTGAGCACTCTATCTTAAACAAGCGCCCATTCTGTGGGTACTGAAAAACATGAAAAGCGCCCAGCCTCGAATAAGCTCCCACCTCTAATTTACCTTAGTAGCGATGACATTAAAATCGACTTTGTGCTACGATGAGATTTCCCCGAAAACCGCGTTTTCATAGTATTTCAAAGAAACTTTAAATAAAAAGTTAAAATTCTGCTTTGATACATCTCTACATTTTGTTTTCGCTATTTCGTTTTGTTGACAATACGGTGAAAACGGTGAAAACTTAACGGCTCTAGGCCCTAGCCTTAACGGCCCTAGCCTTAACGGCCCTAGGCCCGTTTCTCGAAAGTCCTGGTAAAGCTCTTTTGTTTTCATTTAAGGTGATGATTTCAAAAGTTTTAATGGCCCTAGCCTTAAACTTAACGGCCCTAGGCCCTAGCCTTAACGGCCCTAGCCTTAACGGCCCTGGGGCCCGTTTCTCGAAAGTCCCGGTAACTTAGCGGGCCCGAG